CCATCCCATGGGAAGTGTTTGGACTGCAGGGGGTGGTGGAGACAGGCCCACTGGGGTAACATTGGGGCACAGGATAGATAGCTGATCTGCCCTCCAGTCACCACAGGGCCACTCAGTGGAGACTGGTCAGGAATTTAGAACTTCAGAGGGTGCAGTTTGCTGAAAAGACTCAAGCCCAGACCAGAGTTTCCACAAAACCCAGGTGTATCAGACCTCACAAGACCCGGAAGTGCTTACAAGGTCAACAGTTAAAACCTGAGCTGCACAAAAACCTTCCCCAGGGAATCAGCAGCAAAGCAGCATTTTAGCTCAACCAGAAGGCTCAAGTACAGATTCCCATAGGAAGTTACCCCATTTTAGAAGTAACCAAAGGACAAGAAATTAGTTCCAGTACAGAGTTTGAGTGGTGGGAACAGCAAATAATCCAACACAGAACTGAGAGAAAAAACAAAACACCCACAGGTCAAAGTTCTGATATTAACCAGTGAAGGTCTAATACCACCAAAGAACACCTATAAAACCTAGAAAGACTGGAAGCCACCCGCACTCCCAAGCCAGGTCATGGGGGAGGCCGAGATCCCCAGTCACGTCTCCCTGATGTCTGCATCCAGTCCAGTGACGACCACCGACCCCCCTACATCCACATTCAGCCCAGCAATGACCACTAAGCTGCTGCCAGAAGTACCCTGGTCTCCTGAGCTGGGGTGGTGGGGGACCAAGAGCCTCAGCAGTGCCCCTCCGATGTCTGTGTCCAGCCATGCAATGAACACCAAGCCACTGCTGGAAGTGCCCCAGGTTCCTGGGGTGTGGGTTGCTGAGGGCCTCAGCCATGTCCCCCCAAAGTCCACATCCAGCCCAGCCATGATGAGCTGCTGCCAGAAGTCCCCTGGTCTCCTCTGCCAGAATGAGTGGGGTGCCATGGGCTTTGGCCACACACCCCCTTCCTCCTATTGCCACCCCCTTCCCCTCCCCCCAACTGCTCCACAACATTATCTTAGAATATAAAAAAGTAATAATAATAATAAATTTTTTTAAAAATAAAACTAAAAGAAGGGGATGAGGATGGATACTAGAAAGCAATTAGCAGCCTCTGCCATAAGAGGTGAAAGTGTTTTAGGCATAGAGAACTCTGGATACATACAGAAATTAGAGATCAAAGAACTAAAGCACTACTTTAAGAAACTGAAGAACTAAGAGACTAAAGAACTATATTAATTCAGTATGACTGTAGTGTAGGCGAATGCAGAATACTGGGAAATGGGACTGGAGATTACAGGCAGTGGCCACATTAGGGAGCACCTCATATGTTAACTAAGGAGTTTGGACTTTGTCCTGAAGACAGTGAGGAGTCACTGAAATATTTTAAACAGGGGAGTGACACAATTAGATTTGAGTTTAGGAAGATCACTCTATCTGCAGTTGGGTAGACAGATTAAAGGAAGGAGTGACTGATGGCAGAAGGAACAGTTAGGAGACTATTGCAGTAATCATAGGCAAGATAAGACAACTAAAGCAGGAACAATAAGCAGAGGGAATAGATTAGAGAGACACTAAGGAAGTATAATTGATAGAACTTGTTGACTAATGGATGTGGGATGTGAGAGAGAGGGAGGATGTTATGATAATAATGTCCAGATTTTTGGCTTGAACATGAGCATTGTTTTAGGTAATAAAAATTTATATTGGAAGAGTTAATGTGTTTAATTCTAAAAATGTTGAGTCTGAGATACTTCTGGGTTATCCAGATGACAGTACTGAGCAGGCAATTGGATATATTGGTATGGAAACCAGTAGAGAAATCTGGTAGTGCAAGCCGTGAGAGTGGATGAAACTGTTGAGAAAGCAAATGAGTCTGGATTAGTGAGATCATTACAGGCCTGAGAACACAATCCTGCAGAAGATCAACATTTGGAGGGAACCAGTGAAAGAGATTGGGCAGTGTTCAGAGAAGGAAATGTGATCATTCATAAAGGTAAAAAGAAAGGCATTTGTAGATAGGGAATGGTTGTGTCAACCATTGGAGCAAAGTCAAAATAAGGATTGAAAACTGCCCTTTGGATGTTGAACATCTTTTTATGTTTGCCGTTATTGTATCGTTGGTAAAGTGTCCAAATAACTCAAAGTCACAAAAAGTTTTCTCCTAGAAGTTTTATAGTTTCAGCTTTTAAATTTGGGTATAGATCCATTTTGAGATAGGTTTTATAAGTGGTGTCAGATATGGACTCTAGTTCATTTTTTGCATATGGGTATTCCACTGTTCCAGTACCATTTGCTGTCCTTTCTTCACTGAATTGCCTTTAAAAAAAAAAAAATTAATCTACATATTTGTGAGATTACTAATGTTTCTGTTCCATTGATCTATTCACCTATCTTGACACTAATGCCACTCTGTCCTAATTATTGTACCTTTATAATAAGACTTGAAATCAGGTAGTATCAGCCCTCTAATTTTGTTTTTCTTTTTCAAGATTGTTTTGGCTATTCTTGGTCCTTTGCATTTCCCTATAAATTTGTGAATCAGCTTGTCAATTTTTGTATAAAAGCTTACTGGTATTTGGATTGTGTTCAATCTGCAGATCAATTTTGGGAGAATTTACATCTTAACAACAGTGATTCTCCCTACTTGTGAACAAACTATATCTCTCTGTTTATTTAGGTTTTCTTAATTTTTCTCAGTCATATTTTGAAATTTTTAATGTACATGTGCAGCCGTCTCCTCTGTGATGCCTTGCTTTGCAAACTTTTGCTTCCTTGCCTTCCCCGTACTCAAAACTCAATCTCCTCAACTTAGGGAGACTGCTGGGCTCCACCTCGGTTCCTCTCCCTGTGCTTTGGCCTGAAAATCTTTCTACAGGTTGTCAACTGGGACAGTTGTAGGGCTCGCCTCGTTTGTTTTTCCTGTTTCTCAGGATCACTGTCCTTCATTACTGGATTTCCAACGCCTTGCAAACCATTGTTGCATGCATTTTTGGCCTGAGGAACAAGTAGCCATTACGGTCTTTTCAGGGGACAATTTGGCCTTTTTTAGTTAAAGTTTTAAATGTGTTTGTCTTCTGACCTAGCGATTCTAGGCAATCCTCTAGGTGCTAGAGAAAGAGCAGTGAACATGACAGACATGCTTCCATATAACTTAACTATAGTGGGGAGACAGACAACAAAGTAAATAAGTAAAATATATACTGTGCTAGAAAGTGATAAGAAATGCTGAAAAGATAAAAATTAAACAGGGAAGAGAGATAGGAAGCGTTGGGTGGAGAGAGTAGTGTCAATGTTTTAGATACATTATCCTGGAAGGCCTTACTGAGAAGGGTATATTTGATTAGAATCCTGGAAGAATTGAGAGAGCAAGCTATAGAATATTATTACTAGTGGTGGTAGAACCAGGAATATGACCTACAACTGTGCGGCCTCAAAGCTCATATTCTTTCTCCCTTACAACCATGTAACATACTGGCCTCTGATTGTTCATGCATTGTTCCTTATCATTGTCCAGCTTTTAGACAGGCTTGCCTTGTGTTCCCAATCGTGTAATTTCCATGATTGTGAAGCCTGTGTTGACCTTAGCCTGATAGGATGTTGGGCTTTGACATTTCTCTCTCTCTTTTTTTTATTTCTTTATTTTTTATTGTACGTACATGTGAGCTACAACGTTGTTTTTCAGTAATTGTGTAGAATGTGTGGTGGTTAGATAAGTATAGTTAGCTTATTCGTCATTACAATACACAATCCTTGTTTGTGTTCATTGACCAATTCATTAGCCCCCCTCCCTCCCTCCCCCATCCCCTCCCCTTTTACACCTCTAGTTTTCTAAAAGTTCAATGTATTACTGTGATTGTTGTTTCTTTCTCTCTCTCTCTCTCTCTCTTTGTTGTTCATTTGTTTATTTATGGATTCAGCTCCCAGTTATGAGTGAGAACATGTGGTATTTCTCTTTCTGTACCTGGGTTATTTCACTTAGGATGATTTTCTCCAGGCTCATCCATTTTGTTGCAAATGGTAGAATTTCATTCTTTTTTATGGTTGAGTAGTATTGCATTGTGTATATATATCACAATTTCCTTATCCAGTCATCCATCAATGGACATTTAGGTTGGTTACATCACCTAGCTATTGTAAATAGAGCTGTATTGACACCAATCATTGGGGTTGATTTTGTTACTTCACTGGCTGGACAATGGTCTCCTTCCTCTTTATTACATATATGTATCATCCTCAAGTGTATGCACTCTGGCCAAAAGATCAGTCTTCTCAGAGAAAGAAAGATCCTTAAGTATACATGAGATACTATGTAAAAATTCTAATCACAGCTCCTCCCGCACACCTTTAGCACTCTTCATAGCATCCAAATCACTTTGTTTTTATTTTTTAATTTAATTTTACTTTTAATTTTTTTGAATAGATAATGCACCATGGTATGAAATTTTAAAAGAACAAAATTATCTTGGAGGGAAAAATAAGTTCCTCTCCCTCTTTTCCCTAGCCAATCATTATTACTGTCTTGAGGTAAGGTAACCAGGTTCATTGGTATCCTTTCAGAAATATTGAGTGCATGTGTGCATGTAGATGTGTTTGTGTCCCTCCATACCCCACTCCCTCCTTGACAACCCTATTCACTTGATTCTTACCACATCCTATGAGGTAGATGGTGCTGTCTTCATGTTACAGGTGAGAAAGCTGAGGCTCAGAGAAAGGAGGTGACTTACGTAAAGTTTTCCAGCCAGTAAGTAGAAAATCCAGGACAGATGTTGCAGCCTTTTGTCTGCGTTCTTTCCTCCACACTCAGAAGTGCCAGGTCCTGTGCCTTGAGCATGGTAGGAGACGTCTAAACATTTGCTGGAAGCTAGAGTGATCAAGAAAATCCTCACAATTTCTTTAGTCATATTAGTATTTGTATAGCAGACTCTAAATGTAATACTGGCAGGCATCAGCTGGTGTGTAGCATTAGAGAGACAGAAACTTGACCTAATCGTTTCCTGGATATCTTTCTTCTCCCTCCACAGATCTATTTAGGTCCACCTGAGGAAAGTGCTGCACCCCCAGTGCCTCCGCCGCGGGTGACAGCAAGAAGGCACAAACCAATCACGATTTCGAAGCGCTTGCTGCGGGAAAGGACTGTTTTCTATACTCCTTCCATGGATGAAAGTGAAGGTCAGTACTGAGGTTCACCCTTAGCTTCTGAATGGTGATTAGACACAAAGAGGATTTTGAAGGGCAAGAGTAGAGGCATGGCCATTTTTCTTCATGCAAACGTAGATCTTTCCTGGCTCCTGGGCTTAAAAGCAGCCAGGAGAATCAAGGTTTATAGTTTGTGACCAGAGAAGGAGTTAGTCCTTTGGTAGTATGCAGGACAAGGACTCACTTGTAAAGGAAGCTATCATGATTCCTTACAAGGCCAGTAGAGAATCCATGATGTTCATAGATCTATGCCCCCACTACACTGAAATGGGTGAGCAAGGTACTTTCTGAATTTTCTGAGATTTTAAATTCAAATTTGGCTAACATGGATTGAACAGCTATTGTGTGCCAGGTATTCTGCTAGGTGCTAGGTGAAATTAAGACACATTCCCTGGCCTCAGGGAGCTTACATGATAAAGGGACACATGGATATGTGAACAAATAAATGCCATTCAGTGGAATACATGCTAGTACACAGACTGCACCCATTCTTAATGGGCCTCTGCCCCCACTACTCCAGTGAGACCACTTCTGTCAGGGTTACCAACAATTTACACATGGCCAAACCAAATAGCCACTCTACTGGTCTCATGATATTCAGCTTGTGAGCAGCATTTGACATAGTTAACTAACTCCTCCTTTTTGAAACACTTTATTACCTTTGAAACACTTTATTACCTTGACACTGAACTCTCCTTCTACCTCACTGGACATTCCATCTCAGTCCTCTGCTGGTTTTCCTCCTCTTCCCAACTTCTACATGTTGGAAGGTCCCAGAGCTTTTTTGTCAGCCCTCTTCTCTATGTTCTTTTCCTGTGTAATCTCATTAAGTCTTATGGTTTTAAATATCATTTAAATGCTGAGGATGATTTCCAAATTTATATCTCCAAAACTGATATCTCCCCTCTATTGCTGTCTCAAACTCCCTGTTCAACAGTTCTCTGTGGATGGCTCAAAGGTATCTCAAATTTAAAATGTACAAAACACAACTCTTGATCTCCTACTACTCCTTAATCTCCTAATCTGGTCTCTCCCATCTAAGTAATTGGCAGCACCAGTCACCCAATTGCTAAAGTCAAGAACTTTGAAATCATTATTTTTTTCCCTTTCCCTCACATCTAAGCCATCAGCAGTTTTTGTCAGCTCTACATGCACACCATATGCTAAATCCTACCACTTCCCACTGCTGCCATCCTGGTTGAGCCACCATCATCTCTTACCTGGTATCCTTGCTTTCTTTCTTGCCTGCCTATAATCTGTTCTCTACAGCAGCCTGTAAAATGTACATCCTTTTAACAGTATAAATGAGATCACATCATTTTATCACCAGCCCCTAGAACAACTTATGGTATATATTGAATGTGGTCAGTAAATATTTATAGAATGAATAAATGGATGTATAAGGAATAACAAAGAGAAAGGGATCTTCCTGTTTAAGGGATCACCTCTTTTATAGAGAAGGTGAGCTGGCATTCAGGAGAAAGTGGAAGGGAACATTGAATGCCTACTCCGCTATTCCATAATCTAATTTTTATGAAATAAATTTGTTAATTTATTTTTTTACTTAACGATATCCCTAAATATAAACTCTATGCCAGCAGGAACTTTTTTTTTTTTCCACACTGTATCCCCAGCACCAACACAGTACCTGGCACATAATAAGTCCTTAACAAATGAATGCAATAAATGAATGAACTGGGTATCAGTAGACCTAAGGTCTAATTTCATCTTGGCCACTAGCCTGCTGAGTTACTTAAGCTAGTCACTTCCTCTTGCCCCTCTGTGTGATGAGGACTTTGTGCCAGTAGATCTCCAATAAGATCACCCAGTCTTGAAATTTATTTTTTATTTTTAATTTTCAATAAACTGAGATATAATTCACATGCCATAAAATTCACCTTTTTAAAGTTCACTGGTTTTAGTATATTTGTGCAACCATCTTATTTCAGAACACTTTCATCACCGTAAAAAGAAACCCCATATCTTCCAATTCTCCCCACCTCCCACCAACCCCTGATGATTACTAATTTACCTTCTGTCTCTATAGATTTGCCTAGTCTGGACATTTCATGTAAATGAAATCACACAATATGTGATCTTTTGTTGCTGGTTTCTTTCACTTAGCATAATGTTTTCAAGGTTCATCCATGTTGTACCATGTATCAGTACTTCATTCCTTTTTATTGCTGAATTCTATTGTATGGATATATAACATTTTGTATGTCCATTTATTAGCTGATCAATGCTTGAGTTGTGTTTACTTTTTGGCTGTATGACTAATACTGCCAGGAACATTCATGCACAGGTTTTTGTGTGGATGTCTGTTTTCCATTATCTTGGGTATATAATACTTAGAACTGGAATTTCTGGGTCATATGGTCCCTCTGTATTTAAACTTTTGAAGAATAACAAGACTGTTTTCCAAAGCAGCCGTACCATTTTAATTTTCTACTGGCGATGGATAAGGGTTCTAATTTCTCTACATCCTTGACAATATTTGTTACAGTCCATCTTTTTTATTCTAGCCATCCTAAGGGGTATGAATTCATAATCTCATTTAATCTTCAGCATTCCTGTGTCGGGTAGGTATGTTGAGCTCCATTTTATAGTGAAGGCATTGGAGGCTCAAAGAGGGTGAGTAATTTGCCCAATTAACACAGCTACTAAATGACAGAAGAGCGATTTGCATCCATCTATCTTATCCCAAATCTCATTTGTCTACTATAATACTGTACTTCCTATAACCTGTCTGAATACTGTTCTGAGAAGGAGCCAATCCTTCTACTTACCATTGTTCTTTAGCAGTAGCATCTCACTATCTTACCGCCAAACTTGTATATAGTATTCCAGTGAATTTTTTCTACCATCATCATGGCCTCCCTCACACCATCATATCTAATCCCTGTCCATGCCACCTCTTTGACATCTCTTGAATCTGCCTCTCTTTGCTGATGCTGTTCCAGTGTAGATCCTTCTCATCAGCAGTCCCTTAGCTAGGCTGCCTACCTCCAGTCTCTTTGGTCCAATCTACTTTTCATAATGAACCCAAAGGGATATTCTAAAAGCACATACTTGATAATGCCACTTCTCTGTGCCCCCCCCCCCCCCCC